CTGTATACGTACGTTTTTTGAATGTGAGGAAAATTTATAAAATGTTAATGAGATAAAGATCAAATTGGACACTATATTTACACTTGAATACCATATCTGACACTAAATTTTTAAATGGTTCAAATGAGACATTATGGTTACATGTGAATCTCAAATTGGACACCAAGCTTTCAAATAGATCAAACAAGCACGAATTTAATGTTCTTTTGGTACTTTTTGGAAATCCACCTATGATTTTTCATATTTCATCAATGAAAATTATTAGTATTCATGTTCCTTTGTTTTTTTGCACCTAAAAATAAAAATAACTTAACTCGTGTATTTATATTAAGAATATATAATTAGATGATCAAATTAATAAAATGTATTATAATATAATTGAACTCTTTAATTTTCTTAAATCAATTTAATGAATCGGTGTTTCCAAAAGTTTCATAAAAATCGTATGAAATGAAAAGTCTAAAATCTATTTTGAACTTCTTAAAGATGAATTGTTCTTAATTAACAGGGAAAATGTGCAAATAAGCCCTCGAACTAACCGAAAAAGTGCAAATCACCCTTTTTATAGGTGGCTCTGTCCGGCCGTCGCCATTTGGGGCGGTTCCCGGTGAAATCTTTTGATGATTTTTTTTTCAGCATCTTCTTCATTAAGTCTAGTTCACCCATACCAAAGTTCAGCTAAAAATTCAATCGATAAGACATTTAAATGATTTTCTGAAATATACTGCACTGTTTAACTGCGCAGTTATCTTCAAACATTTATTTGATTGCCTTCCCGATTTCATTTTTAGCTGAAATTTGGTATGAGTAAACTAGACTTAATGAAAAAGATGATAAAAAAATGCATCAAAAAATTCCACCGGGAACCGACCCAACTGGCGACGGCCAGACAGAACCTCCTATAAAAGGGGTGATTTGCACTTTTTCGGTTAGTTCGGAGGCTTATTTGCCCATTTTCCCTAATTAAAATCAAATTACATATTATAAAATCTCGAATTAAATATTCTAAAACTAAGCACATAAATTAAGTTAGCTTATTGGTACCCAAAAGAAAATGAAAAATAAGATTAACATTTTAATTGGAGATAGACGATTAATTTGATTAAAATAAGAGTAAATAATATGTAATATGAACTAAGTAATAAGGTTAAAATGAACAAGAACATTTGAGAGCACATATATATGTTATAATTTCTACTTATAAAGTTTGTAGGGACAGCAATAAGACTAAATTATGATCTAGACTATAATCTATTTCAGAAAATTTGTATTGTATTTCAAATAAAGATGTATTGTACTTCGTATTTCTTATCATTGAAGATAACGAGACATACATCGGTGTATCTGAAAGGACAAGAATTAATAAATGCATTAATTAAATTATAATTAAAATATTGGAAGAGACTATCAAATATATTTTCGGATAATCTTATTAATTAATTATAATAACCCAACATAATTGAAAAGGTACCATATGTTTTGGCTCAGTCGAACTAGAAATGAATGGGCAGCCCAAATGACAAACTTAAGGCCTGTTTACTTGTGACTTAATGGGCTGAATGGAAATCTCGACTTATTCGCTCAGACATATAGTGATGTTTACTTGTAACTTAATGAAAAATATGACTTATTCGCACAAACACTTTATGACTTATTGGTTCAACCCAATTTTAACACTCCTTGCCATTCTTTTTTTAATCTTGCTTCATTTCATCGCTGAAGATCTCTGGAGTCTGGACATTTGAGACTTGCGAAGTTCACCAACCGGACCAACAAACATCACCCATCGGATGAATCTCACTCCTACCTTCTTAAGCTCGGTATTTCCTTGAAGTTCATATATGTTGTATATATTTTTTTCTTAGGTCGAAGCCTTTCTCCCTCTTCTTGCTCGGATTGTTCACTTCCTGAACATCAATCTTGTTTCGATTTTCTGGTAATATTAGTATATATAGTTTGATTTAGTTCCAAATACACTGGAATTTGTTACAGATAAATATTATCTATGTGATGCTGCATATGCAAACACTCATGGATTTTTTGCTCCATATCGTAACACAAGACACTGGTTAGCAGATTATCGATGTCGTCGTACATTGCCTAAAGAAGAAAGATTCAATCATGCGCATGCACAACTCCGGAATGTGATTGAACGTACGTATGGTGTCTTGAAAGCAAGGTTTCCAATCTTAGATCAGATGGCTCCTTATCCATTTGCGATACAAAGGAATGTGGTGATTGCTTGTTTTGCCGTTCATAATTTTATTAGAAAGTACAACATTGATGATGACTTTTTCAAAGAATGGGAATATGACACTATAAGCAACAACGAAGCACAAGAGGAACCTGAGGATATTGGAGAAGAAGTGCATGCAACACAATGGGGCACACAAAGTTTACAGTATATGACGAATTTGCTGAATGAAATCGCTAATAGACTAGAAGGAAAGTAGGAAATGTTTAAAATTAAAGTGTTGTTCTCATTAAGATAAATGACTTTTTTTTATCATGTGATGTGACCTTTTTATTTTAATAATTCATAGCATTATTATCCTCGAGCATCTGAAATTATGTTTCAGAACAGAGAAAGTAAACAAACAATATACATTCAACACTTGTTCCAGACAGAAAAATTATTTGGTCATTTAACGTGATTCAGACTTTTCATTCAACACACTTAGTAAACAATTTGTTAGCCCACTATCACTTAATCCAGACAGACAGCTTAATGCAGACAGACATCTTAGCCTCATTTACTAAAAATAATACTCCTAACAGCAAGGGAGATAGGCCTCCTATCCACACGAACTCGAGCCCAAGAATAATGAAAACTGGAGCCCAAGAATAATGAAAATGGGATGGACAACTACGGCAGGAGACGTTTCAAGGCATAAGACAAAATAAATAATGTGGTCTTCCTTTGTATTATTATTAGGTGTATAGATATTTTTCTCCCCTATCATAGCTGCGGAAATTAATATTAGATTGTTAATTAAGGCTCTGTTTGGCGGGCATAAGTTCGTGCCTTCTAGCTTTTGTACTATTTAAAAAGTCTTTAAAAACTTCTGGTTGTATGTTTGACATGCCAATTTTTAGCATCTCAAATTGAGATGCTACAGTGAGTAGCATCTCATATAAGTCTGTAGCTTCTAGCATTAATTAGTTCTAACAGCTTGTATACCAAACAAAGCTAAATCAAACAATCGGCTTTTTACCAAACAACTACTACCTTTTCTTTTTAAGATCTTTTCAGTCACTAAAAGCTAACGGTTACTAAAAAGCTCATAAAAGTATCTTTTCAGCTAGGTGTGCCAAACACACCCTAAGTCTCAGATCAGTTCGGTTCTTAAGCAAAATATCTGGAACTATATAAAAATTTCAACCTTATTATTGGTTGGGTTCATATAAATTATTTGTAGAACCGATATGGAATCGAACAAAATCTTAACGGTTCGGTTATAGCCATTTCTCGATTCCTAATGTTTTAAAATCTCCAACAAATTACCATTAAATTTGTATCACATAAAGACATTCAACATTTAAAATGATAAGAAATACAATACATCCTTATGTGCTTAGTTGAAATACAATACATCCTTATTTGAAATACAATACAAATTTTGAAGAAATACATTATTTGAAATACAATACAAATTTTCTGAAATAGACTAAATTACGATAAGAAATACAATTCATCCTTAAAATTTTGAAGATAACTGCGCAGTTAAACAACGCAATATATTTCATAAAATCATTTGACTGCCTTCTCGGTTGAAGTTTTAGCCGAAATTTGGTATGAGTAAACTAGACTTAATGAAGAAGATGTTCAAAAAATTTCATTAAAAATTTCACTGGAAATCGTCCCAAATGGCGAAGGCCGAAGAGAGCCTCCTATAAAAGGACTCATTTGCACTTTTTATGTAAGTTCAAGGGCTTATTTGATTGTTCTCCCTAAATTAATTAATTGTTTAAGAGCCCGTTTGGTAATACTCAAATCCGCTATATTAACTGATTCTGCTGAAATTTATGAAGTTCTGGCTAGAGTGGCTAAATTGATTGATTCTGCTGATTTATGAGAAAACTATATTCAAAATATACAACGTATTTTAGTAATAAAATAAAGAAAAATTATATGAAAAACAACTAAAACAATCCTTTACAATAAATTCAGCCAATACGGCCAGAAAAGTAACTTTAATCTTATTTTTTTATTACTCCGTATTACACAATTGAGCGTGCGAAATCAAAAGTTACGTGTTTGGTGAAAAAGTTGGTTGATAAGCCGAAAATCACACAATACTACCCATGAAAATTCTTCCCATGTAAGTTTGGATCAAAGTTTAAGAAAATGAGAATAAAGTGAAAATATATGGTTGTGATTGAGTAAGAAAAAAATAAATGAATAGTCACACAATACTTTTTAAAAAAAGAATTGAGATTTTTTTTTTGGAGACAACCCAAAAAGAAGAATTTTAGGGACGAAGGAATATTTGATTAAAGGGAAAATGGTCAAATAGGCCATCAAACTAACTTAAATAGTGCAAATCACCTCTTATATAGAAGATTCTGTCCGGCCGTCGCCATTTGGGGCGGTTTTCGGTGGAATTTTTTGATTATTTTTTTGAGAATCTTGTTCATTAAGTCTAGTTTACTCATACCAAATTTCAGCTAAAAATTCAACCGGGAAGGAAGTCAAATGAATTTTTGAAGATAACTGCACAATTAAACAACGCAGTACATTTCAGAAAACCATTTGACTGTCTTCCCGGTTGAATTTTTATCTGAAATTTGATATGAGTAATCTAAACTTAATGAAGAAAATGTTTAAAAAATTTCATCAAAAAAATCAATCAGGAACACTCCAAATGACGACAGTCAGACATAACCTCATATATAAAGGGTGATTTTCATTTTTTAAGTTAGTGGGAGAATCTATCTCATTAAAAAATAAAAAAGGAAATCACATGACTTTGATGAAAGAAAAAGGAAAGATAACATACATCCTTATTTCCTTTTGACGTAAAAGGTCGGATGGAGCAACTTTTAACTTCCAACACCATTTAACTTCATCAGCCATTTCAACCAAATTTTACAGTTCTCACTCATACTAGTAAAATAATAACGCTCTGAATCAGACCTTCAAATTATTGTCCATACAATGTAACAGAGCAAATGTAGATAAACAATTCTATTTTTTTTAGATAAGAAATTCAAGAGGAAAATTGAAGGTATACTAGATCTACTTGTCACCCGAGAATTAGAGAGAATCAGAGACAAAGAAACGATACTACTTGTTTCCTGCGAGGATGAGGAATCCAAATTTACACCAGAATCTGGGGCGTGGCTTGAATTTACTTTTCATGTTTCTGATTCTTAATTTGTATATACGTTTCTCACATCCACTATCGGTGCAAGAATCAGAAACTATAAACTCCATGCTAAGGCGTCTGGACAGGAAAAGACCATCACTTTCAGTCCAAGAATCTGCAGCCAAGGGTGTTCTTCAAAGGCTGCTTCCCACCCATTTGACTAATTTTGAGCTCAAAATTATGCCCAAGGTAGTAAAGCTGCTATATTGGTTACTCTTTGAACATGCACTCTTATATTATAGTACAGTTCCGAACGTTTTTTGGTTATGTAGTTAATCATTGGGAAAAAAGTAAACCAAGATTACACTTGTGGGCTTGGACCTCCTTAATTGAGAAGGTTCAGTACAACTCTAGCACGTTGTAGAAACTTTCTAGGATATTTTGAAGGCATTTGGAGAAGTGAAGAATCCTTGAGAAGCACGTTGAATAGTGTCCAACATACTAGAACATTGTGAATTGTGATTATCTAGAAGAACGAGAGAGCTTGTAGAATATTTTGGAGAAATGTAGTCTATTGTAGAGTCACTAGAGAGGTAGAATCAAGCAGTCCTAAATTGGAGTTAAGTGAGCAACCCATACTCGCCTAAATTTTCACTAGTACATGTGATGTATAAATGATGCCATTTACCACATTGTTCATTTGCGTTAGTGAGAATGTAACAGAGAGTACAAGAGTTCATACAAGCTTGTGACCGGGGGAGTTCATCGATTTTCCTCAACACTCTCAATTGCTTTTTGACACTTATGATTTCTCAGGGTTCTGAATGCTGCCTTAGTGTGTGTTTGGATTTTAGTTTGATTAAAGTTCATTAGCTGAAAGTCCCTTTAGTAAAGTTAGTTTCATAAAAGTTTTGGATGCAATAAATGTGTTTGGATATATTTTCTTAAAAGTCAATTCACTAAATTTTTCATCATTTGAAATGGAGCCAAAGACTCACTATATTTTGGCTTGGGAATATGATGGAATAAAGCAAAATGACTCATTAAACTGTCTGCGCTTCTTTGTTATGAAGCAACGGTCAATTCATGTAATTTTCGACGCGATTTTCACTATGGGTCATCCGGAAACGGTCTCTTTGTGCTTTAGCACATGGGTAAAACTGCGTACATCCGATCCCCTCTTACCCCAGCGCAGGTGGGAGCCTTTGTGGCATTGGGGTAATGTAATGATTGTGAAAGCATTATTGTATCTAAGAATATGCTTTAGGAATATGCTCTAGAATATGCTTTAGGAATATACTCTAAACATTATTATTGTATAGCATCTTATATATATATATAGGGCTTTAACTCTCTAATGAAATACACAGAAAATCTTTCCTCCACTTTTCAATATTATTCTAGTTTATATTTCAACATGATATCAGAGCCATAAACAAAAAAAATCAGAAAATCAATTAGCATAGCTAATTTCCCAGAAAATCAAATTAGCATAGCTAATTTCCCAGAAAATCCGTTCGCATACAGTCTGCCCACCAGACCTTAGATATTTTCAGGCCACACATTCCATCACCGCCGTACCCAGGTCGTGCGCCTACCTCCGACGACCCAGAAACCAAAATCCGGCACCTAAACACCACGCGAGTGAACTACACGCGCCGCCACAGCTCGGCGACTTCATCTCACGCGCCGGCGCGTGGCGTCTGTTCTGCGGCCAGATTTTCGATCGACAAACGCCGACCGGCTCGCCTACATATCGCCTATCCATTTCTGTCGCTTCTCTTTGGGGTGGTTAGGATTCGTTCCAGCTCTGGCAGCACAAGCTTCTTCCTTGCAGCCTTCATGACCGACCATTATTGACGAGGGTTTTGGTCTTCGGCCAACTCGCACACTCTCTGCTGGTAAGGATATCTTCACAGAGCCTCTACTTATTGTGCGGACATGGAGAATACAACACTCAAAGAATATTGAGGTTACATTCCTTTATTTTATTTTATTTTGCTTACAAAATCATCAAAAAAAAAGAGAAATGTTTTGTACGGGTAAATTTGACAAAGGAGTAATATGCAATTATTGCAAGAAGCCCGGACACTTGATCAAAGAATGTAGAAAATTGCTATTCAAAAATCAAGGAAATCGGCTTGTTCATGTTGCTTCCTCTACCAATTCCTCTGATGGATCAATTGCTATTTCTTCAGACGAGTATGCCAAATTTAATTGCTACCAAGAATCACTAAAGTATTCCTCTGTCCCTACTTCGGTAGTTGCTAATTCAGGTATTTCAAACACATGTCTTGTTTCCTCATCCTCGAAATGGGTCATTGACTCGGGTGCCACAAATCATATGACTAGTAATCCTAATCTATTCTCATCATTTCATTCATATTTACCTACTTCTAGTGTCACTTTAGCTGATGGATCTACCTCACCTGTTCTTGGATCCGATACTGTTGTCCCAACTTCTACATTACCATCATCACCTGTTTTGAGTCTTCCTAATTTTGCATTTAATTTGCTTTCCATCAGTAAAATCACACGTACTCTTAATTGTTCTGTAACATTTTTTCCTGGATATTGTGTGTTTCAGGATCTGTTGACAAAGCAGACTATTGGTAAAGGACATGAGTCGCCTGGTCTTTATATTTTGGATACATCAATCACAAAAGGTATATCTTGCCTTGGGGTTGGAAATCTATTAGAAGCTCATTACCGATTAGGACATCCATCTCTCCCACTAATGAAGCAAATATATCCTCAGTTCAATAAGGTGTCATCTATACAATGTGAGTCGTGTGAATTTGCAAAACATCATCGTACTAGTTTAAGTCCTCGACTTAATAAACGAGCAAACGCTCCGTTTGATCTTGTTCATACTGATGTTTGGGGGGCATGTCCTGTTGTGTCCAAATCTGGTTTCAAATATTTTGTTACATTTGTTGACGATTATTCTCGTATGACATGGTTATACTTTATGAAACGTCGATCAGAGTTATTTACTCATTTTTCAGCATTTTGTGCTGAAATTAAAACTCAATTTAATGTTCATGTTCGTGTGTTGAGGGGAGACAATGCCCAAGAATATCTCTCGGCTCCATTTAAATCTTTTATGCTTCAAAATGACATTATTCATCAAACTTCATGCGTAGACACACCTCAAAATGGAGTCGCTGAAAGAAAGAATCGACATCTGTTAGAAACTGCAAGGGCTCTTCTATTCCAAATGAATGTGCCTAAACATTTTTGGGCGGATGCCGTGTCTACCGCATGTTTTTTGATAAACCGTATGCCGTCTTCTGTTTTAAATGGTAAAGCTCCTTATCACTGTCTATTTCCAAATAAAGAGCTTTTTCCTATCCCACCTAAAACATTTGGTTGCACTTGCTTTGTTAGAGACGTTAATCCTCATCTTACAAAGTTAGACCCCAAATCATTAAAACGTATTTTTTTTGGGTTATTCTCGAGTTCAGAAGGGGTATAGATGTTTTTGTCCAAGTACAGGTCGATATCTTGTTTCCATTGATGCATCATTTCATGAAAATACACCTTTTTCATCATCCAAGACAGATATTCATGGGGACATTGATGAAATACTCATTTACTCTATCACTATACCAGAATCTACACCTTCTGTAGTTATTCCACATGTTACTGTTCTCGACCCCAGACCGCCAGTACACTTGGTTTACACCCGTCGAAACAGAGCACCAGATCAGCCTCCACCTGTGCCCCCTGTGATTACTTATCCTGATATTGGTCCGTCCTTGAGCTCATGTCCTGAACCAGTGTACATGCATCTTCAGATCTTGTCTCTACATCAGATCTTGACCTTCCGATAACACTACTGATGGAGTATATGGCCCAGGGACCCCCGGCCCACATACTTCCGCTTATACAATCAGGCCCAATAAGCCCAGGAAGCACAACAGGCCCAAACCGCCGCACCTTAAAGTGCCAAACAGCCCACAATACACACTGCGACGCCTTCGGCCCCATGGCCGAAGGCTCATGAACTTACAGTACAACTACTTTTAAGCACCCGGAATTACTGGGAGAAAACGGTGAAAACAATAGCCCTCGACATCTAGAGCCCTCGACACCTGGAGGCCCCCGGAAGGAAGAGCCTTCGGCCTGTCACCTACAGCCGAAGGCAACTTCCTCGACAGAATCTGCGCTCCACATGCGCTGGATCAACGTACCAAGTACAAACGTCGCATCCAACCACCGCATTAAATGCGGCCACATGCGAGTGCCAGTGCCACCCGATTGAGGCGACCCCTCAACCACCAGGATGATGACACGTGTCCTTATCTAGCATTTATTGCTACTATAAATAGCACCCCTTTTCCCCATTTGTGATCTAGGTCCAATACGACTTGAATAATATTCAGATACTTTCTCTCTCCCTACTTTTGCTGACTTCTCTCTAAGTTACTCCCCGCAATAACCCCTCGGATAGATACCCCCGGGTACACTTATCCATCAACTACGTAAAGGTACACGGTCTTGTACTCATCCCATTTCTTCATTTGTGTCGTATAGTCAGTTATCCCCTGCCTCATGTTCTTTTATTGCTTCCATCGATTCTATTTCTGTTCCTAAATCTGTTAAAGAAGCTTTGTCTCATCCTGAATGACGTCATGCCATGGTAAAGGAAATGAATGCTTTGGATCTTAATGGTACTTGGGATTTGGTAGACTTGCCTACAGGGAAGAAGTCTATTGGATGTAAGTGGGTCTTTGCTGTTAAGGTTAATCCAGACGAATCTGGAGCTCGGTTGAAAGCCTGATTAGTTGCGAAGGGTTATGCTCAAACCTATGGTGTTGATTATTCTGACACTTTTTCTCCTATTGCTAAATTAACATCTGTCAGGTTACTTATTTCACTCGCTGCAACTCATGATTGGCACTTACATCAGTTGGACATTAAAAATGCCTTCCTACATGGTGACCTTCAGAAGATGTTTACATCGAGCAACCTCCGAGGTTTGTTGCTCAGGGGGAGTATGGTAAAGTTTGTCGACTTCGAAAATCTCTTTATGGTCTGAAACAGAGTCCTTGTTCATGGTTTGGGAAGTTCAGTCGATCAATTGAACAATTTGGAATGGTCAAAGGCAAATCAGATCACTCTCTCTTTTACAAACGAACGAAAGCACGTATCACATTGCTTGTGGGGTGTATGTCGATGATATTGTGATTACAGGCAATGCTAATGTAGGTATTTTGGCCCTTAAAAATTATCTTCATAGCCAGTTCCAAACAAAATTTCGGAGAATCATATTGTTTTTATGCCTGGACGCTCAACAACTGAGGCCATTCACCTTCTTAGACAAGTTGCAGAGAAGTATATAGACACTAAAAAGGATCTGCATTTGGTGTTCATTGACTTAGAAAAGGCATATGATAGGGTACCTCGAGAAGTTCTTTGGTGGGCCTTAACAAGAAAAGGCATATCACGTAAGTATATCACCATCATCATGGATATGTATGATGCTTGTACTACAAGTGTCCGCACTAGTGTAGGGAGGACCGCAGAGTTCCCTATTACTATTGGAGTGCACCAAGGATCTGCTCTGAGTTCTTTCTTATTTGCTTTAGTCATGGATGAACTTACGAAGTCAATTCAAGAAGATATACCGTGGTGCATGATGTTTGCCAACGATGTTGTATTGATTGATGAGACACAATCCGGTATTAAAGCAAAGTTGGAAGTATGGCGACAAACATTGGAGAGCAAGGGTTTCAAACTGAGCCAAAGCAAGACTGAGTATATGGAGTGCAAGTTCGGTGGAGGTAGAAGCAGTAGCAACAGTGGGATTACTCTTGATGGTAAGGAGATACCGGTGTGTGATATGTTCCGTTACTTGGGATCCATAATTCAGAAGGATGGTGAATTAGATGGAGATGTATGTCATAGAATCAGAGCTGGGTGGATGAAATGGAAAAGTGCTTCAGGATTTCTATGCGATCGAGGTATGCCGACTAAACTGAAAGGTAAATTTTATCGTACAACAATTAGGCCGACATTAATGTATGGCATAGAATGTTGGGCGGTGAAGCAATGCCACATTCAAAAGATGAGCGTGACAGAGATGCGTATGTTGCGTTGGATGTGTGGACATACCAGAAAAGACCACCTGAGGAATGAGGTAATCAGACAAAAGGTGGGAGTAGCACCTATAGAAGATAAGATGCAGGAGTCTCGTTTGCGGTGGTTTGGGCATGTGCATAGAAGACCGAGTGATGCACCTGTTAGATGACTTGAGGGGTGGGGAGAAGAGTCAGAGAAGAGAGAGAGGGGAAGACCCAAACAGACTTGGATTAGAGTAATCAGAACTGATATGCGTCTTCTTGGGTTGGATGAGAGTATGGCTTTGGAGAGAGCAAAGTGGAGGGTGCACATCCATGTGGACGATTGATGTCTTGTCTACCTTTCCTCTCTTGTTTCTTTTATCGTTTATCTTCCTTATCCTTTTATATTCTTATGTTATTTTTATATTCTAGCTTTTTTATGCTCTTTTATTTATTTTTCTTTTATCTTGGTTATATTCTTGTGTTATTGTTATCTTATATTTATGTATCTTTATTTTATTCATTTTATCTTACTTTTTTTTCCTTTTCTTGTCCGCCTTCTCTTTTTGGCATCGATATCATAGATCGATTCATGTTAGCCGACCCCAAATTCTTTTGGGATTAAGGCTTGGATGTTGTTGTTGTTGTTGTAGACAGTTCCAAACAAAAGATCTAGGCTCATTGAAATACTTCTTGGGTATTGAGGTAACACGGAGTAAGAAAGGCATATTTCTATCACAACGAAAATATGTACTTGATTTGCTCACTGAAACAGGGAAGTTGGGATCAAAGCCGAGCAATACTCCCATGGTTTCCCATGTGAAACTCACTCAAGAAGGCATGCCATTTGAAGATCCAGAAAGATATAGACGATTGGTTGGAAAACTTAATTATCTCGCAGTCACTCGTCCATATATTGTTTACTCTGTGAGTGTAGTGAGTCAATACATGTCATCTCCGACCATTGATCATTGGGTTGCTGTAGAACACATATTATGTTACTTAAAGGGAGCACCAGGACGAGGTATTGTTTATCAAAACCATGATCACATGAGAATAGAATGCTTTGCAGATGCTGATTGGGCCGGTTCTAAAGATGATCGAAGATCTACATCTGGCTATTGTGTCTTTGTTGGTGGTAATCTTGTATCCTGGAAGAGTAAGAAACAGAATGTGGTTTCTCGTTCTAGTGCTGAATCAGAATATCGAGCTATGGCAAAATCCGCATGTGAGATAATATGGATACACCGTTTATTGAATGAAATCGGATTGAAGACACCAATGCCTGCTCAGTTGTGGTGCGATAACCAAGCTGCTATACACATAGCAAACAACCCCGTATTTCATGAGAGAACAAAGCATATTGAGGTTGATTGCCATTTTATTCGAGAGAAGATACAAAAAGGATTAATCTCTACCGGATATGTGAAGACTGGAGAACAACATGTAGATTTATTCACTAAAGCTCTAAATGGGATTCGAGTTGATTACTTATATAACAAGTTGGGCATGATAAATATCTATGCTCCAACTTGAGGGGGAGTGTGAAAGCATTATTCTATCTAAGAATATGCTTTAGGAATATGCTCTAGAATATGCTTAAGGAATATACTCTAGACATTATTATTGTATAGCATCTTATATAGGAATATTTCATCTTTGTAATATATATAGGGCTTTAACCCTCTAATGAAATACACAGAAAATCTTTCCTCCACTTTTCAATATTATTCTAGTTTATATTTCAACGATGATGATGAAAAGTCAATTTACTAAACTAAAAGTTGTCTTATATAGGAAACGTTTGGAGCTTTCTCCAGTCTATTTGAAAAGCATAAATCAAACATAAGCTAGGTAGGGGTGAAAACACTTCCGCTTGTATGCTAAATGTGCTTCCAGAACGGTCTCCAGTTAGAGCAAAAAATTCTGGAGACTCAAAAGCACTTTTGGCTTTTTGAATGCTGAACTAGAAATGCCAAAAATGGGCTCTTATTTTGTCTTTTAGATCGTGCATTTTTAAAGTTCATCATTGTCTATTATGTAGCATACAATACACACTTTTCATTGGTGTATAGAACCCGTTTGGTAACACTGAAATTGGTTGAATCTATTGAAATTGATGGCTGAATTGCTTGAATCCTCTATTAGGAAAAAATAGAGAAAATTATGGAAAAAATATATTTAAAATATATTTTATTAGGAAAATAAAGAAAAATTATATGGAAAATAGCTAAAATGACCCTCTACAGTAACTTCAGTAGCAAAATAAAAAATTACGTGTTTGGTGAAAAAGATGGTTGATAAGGCCAATAAGCCGAAAAATAGGATCACAAAAGGGCCCGTAAGCTCTCAGATTGAACCAAATTATGCTGGTTTTCATTGAAGAAGATACAGTTTCTTTGGCATAAGTACTCTCCATTTGGTAACCCACCATCATTCAACAGTTTGACTGAATTTGGTACATTAATATGTCTGGTTTATTGTCACTTGTCAGTGTTAACTTGTTACTTCTATCTGGTTGCATAAGATATAGGCTTGATATCATTCTTATTCTTATCCATATATTATTGAAAGCTGATGGCAAATTGCAGGATGCTTGTGGAGGGAAAAGCTGTTTTAGGGTAACCAATTACAAGAGCTCAAATAGAGTTCTGCCTCAGATATTGTATGTGGGTCCTACCTTTCATATATATATATATATGTGTGTGTGTGTGTGTGTGTGTGTATGTATGTGTGTGTGGTGATGGTTGAATATTAAATATGATTCTATTGAGGACATCAAACATCAAACACACTTGCTTTTGACGTATGTAGTAGATATACACCTGAAGAAGAAACGTACACAATTGTAAGCTCTAGCATTTTTATCTCCACCCCTTTTGTATAAAAGGCCGGATTTCTGAATGTTTGATATCTATAATTTCATGCACTATTATCCACACAACCATGATTCAACTCCATTCTACTCAATGTGCATTAAATATTACAATGTGAACTTCAAATGTAATTCAGAGTTTTGTGTAATAAAAGAGCAGCAGATCTTCAGTGCTGTACCTTTAGCTCTTCCTTAAAGACTCTGTGTTCAGACATGTCTTTGGGTGGATTTACTGATTTTATTAAGTATTTCAATTTTTGCTCCTTTTGTTTTAATGTCAAGGGATAGAAAGATAATTTGGACGTTGCCATAATGTGTTGAGAGCAGAAAAATAAAATATCAACAGGGTAAACCATTGCTCAGATAATCAACGATAATGTTAGGTGCCTAGCTAATTCAAGATCTATTTCAAGAAACAAAATGAAGAACAGAGATGTGCATACAACTGAAAGGGTTCGTATAACAGAAAAGAGAAAGAGAAAATACAAGATAGTTCCAAGTCCCAAGTCCCAAGCCCAAAGGATAATTCCAGCCTCCTTTCTATTCTCCCCTCCACCTCTATTTATACTAATTCTAATACTCCTTATTTCTTATTATTCTATGTAGGTCCCTAACAGATAAATACCGTTGCCCAAAGCCAAAAGGCCAAAATCCAACTTTATTCCAAGATGATCAAGAATGAAGCATACTAGGGGTATAAATAACCCTCTAAGTCTAATAAGAATAGGAATCCTAATTTAACCATACTAGGAAACTAAATAGAATAAGAAACTTCTAATTCTAATAAGAATAGAAGTCCTAATTAAACCATTCTAGGAAACTAAATAGAAATAGGAAATCTGTAATTCTAATAAGAATAGAAGTCCTAATTAAATCATACTAGGAAAATAAATAAATTAGGAAACAAAATAAAAGGAATAATTAAAATTAATTAAATTGCCCGCAGCCAGCCCACGAAGGTGGGCTCAAGCCGGTCCACGCCCCGTGCTCTCCCTGCTCTCTATCATAATGCCATGTATGTAAACAATGGTTGCATATAGTGTTGCCTATAGTTGCTTCTGTAGACATCCTGAGACATGCAGGAGCATTACCTTTAGATCTTTTTTTGTTTTGTTTTTCGGTTTTGCTTATAAGGATACAAGGAACTACGGCAGTTGAAATCACATCAGGCCTCCATTGGTACTTAAAGTATTGGTGTGGCGCTCATATTTCATGGGAAAAGACTGGTGGAGTACAGATAGGTTCAGTACCCAAGCCAGGTCTACTACCTTCTGTAGGTACAGAGGGTGTGATGATTCAACGGCCAGTGCCATGGAACTACTACCAAAATGTTGTCACCTCAAGCTGTAAGTCCTAATTATTTATCTTTTTACTTGGTGATTATCTACATATAAAATAATGTATGATATGATTTTTTTTGGAGGCACACTTGTAAGCTTAATGTGCCTAGTTTAGCACTGATTATGAATAAGTAAAAGTGTAAAACAGATACGTTGTTCTTTGTTAATCTCCTCTCTTGTGGATTTTAATGCTTTGTGCGGACTGCGGAGTGGGAACCTTAGTCTTGGAATTCCCCACCCCCATTCTCTGCTGATGGGTTTGCTTAATCGTTCAAACCATATTTACGTAAGTCTTTATTTAAGTGCTATAGTGTTTTGCTTATCTCCAACAAGTTCTTCAGTTATGTCAGTTCAAACTTTAAACCCAGTTTTGGCCAAGTTACTCAGCTTATCCTACTAAAGATATTTTCTATAATTTATTTAAGTGGCCTTGTATATCCTATCTCCTTTTATATTACTACCTCCGTCCCATTTTATGTGTCTCATTTGGTTTTGGCACAATTTTTAATAAAGTGGTTGAAAAGGTAAAAGTTGTGGTTGAGATTTGAGTATAATAAAGTGAAATGTTGTGAACCACATATTTCTTTCCAAAAAGGGAAATGTGCCACTTATTTTGGAACAACCCAAAAAGGAAAGTAAGACAGGTAAAATGGGGCGGAGGGAGTATCTTTTTTTATTATAGCTTATCCTTTTTATTTTTCTTATCTTTCTTTTCCTTTTGGTTTCGATATCATGTATCGATTCATTTTAGCCGACCCCAAAGTCTTTTGGGATTAAGGCTTGGATGTTGTTGTTTTTGTATTTGAGTGGCCTTGTGCACTGGGCCCTACATTTATTTACAAGTTTTTTTGGGGGAATTATACTACAACAACAACAACATCCAAAAGATTTGGGGGAATTATACTATGAAAAAGAAATAAATCTTTTTGTGAAATCCTAACTCAAGGAAACCCAACTAAAACCAGTATTATTTATTTTGTGCCTGAAACTTTTTTTCTCCACATCTGTTTCTTATTGCTGTCTTAAGGTTGCTCTCTTGAGCATTGGTTAATACAATTCAGATATTCAATTGCAGATTCATATGTGTGGTGGGATTGGCAGAGATGGGAGAAAGAGATAGATTGGATGGCACTCCAAGGAATAAATATGCCCCTTGCATTTACTGGACAAGAAGCTATTTGGAGAAAGGTTTTTTTGGTATGTATATATGATCACTTCGTTTAAGTTGCTAGCTGCTTTTGAAAGTTTATTTACTTCACCTCACCAGCTCATTAGTATTAGCTACTGCCTTCTGTTATTCAGACCATCAGTACAAGAAAAACTACATTTGAAGGGTTCTCATACCAGTTATTGTCAATACAAGCATAAATCAGAAAGATTTTTTCTTCATTTTCTCAAAGCTTGCTACTGGAATATTATTAATGCCAAGGATCTTAAAATAGCCATTTTTTGTTAGTTGTGTGAGAAAATATATACTGAACGTATCAATCATTATTCACACTCCTCCACTGGAGAGGGATAGAATAACTTATATAATGGAACATGAACATCACATAAATGTGTAACAAACTACCTACAAATTGAAAAATACTGACCATTCACTATTCCTCTACTTACTATTATTTCTACCTTCAAGTTAGGGAACATATTTCTGGTAACTGGTAAGAAGCTAATAAATGGAAAAGAATAAGTAAAAAATTTACAGTATATAAGTGTAGGTAGTGTACACTGTACACTTTATGTAAGTTAAGAACTTTCATTTTCTACATTATGTTATTCTGGAGTGTTGACTTCTGTTGCTTAACAGCAGGAATTTAATATGACGACTCAAGATTTGAATGATTTCTTTGGCGGACCTGCCTTCCTAGCCTGGGTTCGTATGGGAAATCTACATGGGTAAGGCAGTCTCTTCTCTATTGACAGTGCAATCTTTTTTATCACCTAGTCATTCCATTCTCCGGCTGACAATTTATTTAGAATTCAAACTAAGTAACGAACTATCCTTTATCAATATCAAATAGACAATAATGCAGCAGAAAGATTTGTATTAGGATAATGTTTTTTGCTTTATATTGGCTAAAGTGCTCACTTGGGCTACATGGCTTAAAAGATGCTATTATAATTAACAGTGTAGTATGTTATTTATAGGAATACACTGGTAGTCCTACTTGACCACTTGGGCCAAGCGAGTCCTTTAGCTAATTTACACGTGAATATAGTGCGGTCCAAGTTAAGAGTCTAATTTGTAAAAGTCTATGCATTTCCAATTTCGCTCTTGGACACCGTTCAGAAGTCTTATTACATTTATCATGAGATTTTACATTTCATCATTCTCTGAAAAATAGATGGGGAGGACCTTTATCTCAAAACTGGTTGGATAAACAGCTGTCGTTGCAGAAGCAGATCTTAAAGAGGATGGCAGAGTTGGGCATGACCCCAGGTATGCTTCTTTACTTAAAATACTGTTTTCATTCTGAACCTCTTTCATATTTAACAAAATCTGTTGAAATATACACGGAAACAAAATGCTAATGTACTATCACTAGCCACTACCTACAAGTATGTTCTTTTCCAAAACAGGTTAATGTGGAACAGTGATTAAGTTGAATATGCTTCTGAGATTTGACCACCACACCTTTTTTGTTCTTTTGGCCAGTGCTGCCATCATTCTCTGGGAATGTACCTGCTGCACTAAAAAAGATGTTTCCATCCGCAAATATAACTAGACTTGGGGACTGGTATTTCTCGTCTAATTATTTCTCATCTCTAAATTTGGATCTTCATTCTCATTTTCTTTTTGTATCGATTTGTTGACATGGATTCTGTTGTTTATATTTTTCTTTTGAAACTTTTCGCTGAAATGATTTAATTTTCTTAACATATCCGGCAATGCCATAATTCCATCATTTGCAATGGAGCCAAAAACTCATTATTTTTTGGCTTGGAAATATGATGGAATAAAGCAAATGAGCTCACTAAACTGTCTGCGCTTCTTTGTTATGAAGCAACAGTCAGTCCATGCAATTTTTGACGCGATTTTCACTATGGGTCATCCGGAAACAGTCTCTCTGTACTTTAGTACAGGGGTAAGACTGCGTACATCCGACCCCCCTTACCCCACTATAGGTGGGAGCCTTTGCGGCACTGGGGTAATGATAATGATGATGATGATCTGGCAATGCCATCTACTGAGGAAAATATTTGTTTGATTATGTGTGTGTGAGCGCTTGAGTTTCCCTCAATTCCAAGCTCTTTGATTTTAGGAATACAGTGGATGGCGATCCTCGATGGTGTTGTACGTTTCTTCTAGATCCTTCTGACCCATTGTTTATTGATATTGGTGAGGCCTTCATTCAACATCAGCTTAAAGGTGATCTATTGTCACCTTTCACTTATTGGTTACTGATATTTATATTAAATTCCAATGCAATCCAGAAAAAGGGGGATTTATATTCAAAGGTTATTTGGAATGGCATTATTTAATATTAGTGTCTCAGTTCTTCTCTTTGAATCCTTTTTATTTATTTCTTTTCAAAAGCATCGTCTGATCTGGAAAAGTTGAAAACAATGAAAACCTTAACCGTTGGTCTTAAACCTTTCCTTGTCTAAGAGGAATGCTAGTATGTTCTGCAGTTTTATGATATGATATGATATAGCTTTTGTTAGGTTATGGCTAATTCTACAGTAATTCTGAGCTTACCGAAGGCAAAAATGGCGACGAAGATCAAAAGTAGAAGTTTATTGTTTAATGGAAAGAGAAGAATACAGTTCCCAGGTCATAACAAAGTTCCGACTCCCAGTCCCAAGTCCCAAGCCCAAGATAATTCCAACCTCCTCTCTATTCTACCCTCCACCTCTATTTATACTAATTATTCTAATACGATTATTACTCTCATTTATTATCATTCTATTCTATGTAGGTCCCTATCATTACTCCCCCTTGGACAACCACCTTGTCCTCAAGGTGGGTGATAGGAGACTGTCATGACGAACACCTTCTTCCTCATCTTTGCGCCTCTTCCTTCCCAGTATCTTCCAAATTTCAGGACCCTGAACTTCATGAACTGAACCATTGTCATCACTTTTACCATAGCAAGCAGCTGAGGCAAGCACATGGTTACCAAAATCCTGGTGGCAGAATACTTCCTGTGCTTACTTAGGAACTCTTCAAATAACCCATTGACCCATCGAAGAAACACAACATCACCACCTATTGACTCTCCATCTTGTTTTGGACTTAATGCTCCAATTGGTTTTGCAAGAACCAAGTAAGTAAACGACTTTATCAAATCCAGATTTTCTGAGGAATAATCAGCCAGAACCCAAGGAGACAAAGGAGACTTAATTAATTCATCATAAGATCTTCCAGTAGGTTTGTTGAGAATCATTATGTACTCACAGTTTATAGCTCTATGAAACCGGCAGTCAAAACCTTCCCAGTATTTCCCTGGTTGTTTATCAATTCTCAGACATTTTTCCTCCTCATTTTCATTGCTTGGACCATCACACTTTGATTTGTTTCTTTCCAGATCACCCTCTTCCCCGAGCTTGGTCAGTGCCATTGAAATTCTTGAGATGCATTGACCACTGTCCACTAGCACATAGCAGTACCCACTCACTTGGTATGCATACTCATCATGCCACCCCCTGATTTAATAGATGTATTTCCTTTGCGAAAACAGGACCAAGAGCTCAAGCCATCAGACAAGCCTTTGGATTCAACCTTAAAACAGCAAAGGTAAAAATCTTCACCCAGTCATCATTAGGAAGTGCTGTTGACACTTGTAGGTCCTGGTAGATGTTCAACAAATAGCAACTCATGTTTTCAGCACCAATTTCCAACACCCATATGATTGACTGAGCTTCAAAAACAGCCTCTCTCTCAATAGTCAACATTTTTAAAGAACCAAACTTATTCAATCTTTGTGGCTGATGCTGAAGAATGGAAGAATCGAGATAAGAGTTGTCAAATTCCCCTGTAAGTACCATTCACAAGTACTAGGGACCCCGCAGCTGGGCTTCTAGCCACAGGATAGGAAATTACCAAAACTGGATTATCTGTCAAGAATAACATCTGAGAGGTCAATTTCAACACTGGAAGTCCTTATCTTGTAGGCTTGAGGTCAACAGGCAGCATTTCAGTCTTTGTCACCTTCTTTTGTGTGATCATCAAGAATGGGAGATAGAGTTTCTCATAGCAGGCAAATGCCTTGCCCTTACGACCTCAATAGTCCAAACCTATACCTGCTTTTTGATTAGGTATACAAACTGTTGGCATTCTCTTCACATTTTCACCAATTATCAAAGCTTCTTGGACGATAGCAGGATTGATTCCCTTGTCAAACATCAGAAACTTATCAGCGTAACAATCAGTAGTACAACCCACCTTTTCCTTCCAATTTCCAGTAGTTCCTACCCCCAATCTATCTTGAATGATCTTAATAGAAGTAACATCATCAAATCTGAAGCCATCAAACGCAGTCAACCCTTCCAAAATCCCCTTTGATATCTGTCGGTGCACACTTGGAATGCCATAAGTATGGCCTCGTAAGTGAGACATGCTCTCCTCATCAGCCCCTGTGATATTGTTGTTCATTCCCAAAGCAGGATCATGGTGGTAGGTACAATTTCCTTCCTGATTGTAAGGAATATCAGGTTTGAGCTGTTCGGATTCTTCTAGAATATATGGTGAATATCCTGTCTGTTGATTAGTATCCTTGTCAGGATCCGATTCCAAAATTGAGTGTTCAGCCGACTTCCACTCAATATTTGTTGCGGACGAAATCCCCAGGGAGGAAAATTGAGCCGACTCAGAAACCTGCGATGCATACTGTGAATTGGTCGAAACAGCTAGCGAAGATGAACTTAGAGAAGTTCTTTTCGATTGCGATGATTCCTGGTTTACTGTCTTCCGCCTGCGTGTAGGTTGGAATCTCCGAATCGTCTTTTCCTTCAGAACTTCCCAATTCTTTTCTCTCGTTTCAATTTTCTACCTTTGAAACCAATTGAACGCCCTATCCTCCATTGCTTCTTCTGCCACTCTAACCTTATATTTTTCCGCAGTACCGTTGAGTCTGAAGTATCGTTCCATCCTAGTTATCCATCTGTGCGGGTCACCCCCTTTGAATACAGGTAAATCTTGTGATCCCTCTGGACTGACGTAATTTCTCGCGTACCTAAGATGCGAAGTGGAATGCGAACTGTGAGAAGAAGTTCGCGACTTACCTCCTGCTTCAGACGATGTAGGACTGTCATGTATAGCGTGGCGCCTTGAAGTTCTTGATTTTCTTCGTTCATGTCGATCGTTCTGCTGTATGATCAGTTCGCGCAGCTCTGCGAATCCATTCCGCACTTCATCGCGAGTCTTCCGCACTTCATCGTGAGTCTTCCGCACTTCATCCCGAGTCTTCCGCACTTCATCGCTAGTCTTCCGCACTTCATCGCGAGTCTTCCCCATCTCCTCGCGGTTTCGTTCCAATTTGAGCTGCACTCTCTCCAGATTACTTTCCATCGTCCTGCGTGTATCGACCGTTGATAGGCTACAGGAACGAATGCTCTGATACCAATGTTAGGTTATGGCTAATTCTACAGTAATTCTGAGCTCACCGAAGGCAAAAATGGCGAAAAAGATCAAAAGTAGAAGTTTATTGTTTAATGGAAAGAGAAGAATACAGTTCCCAGGTCGTAACAAAGTTCCGACTCCCAGTCCCAAGTCCCAAGTCCCAAGCCCAAGATAATTCCAATTTCCAACCTCCTCTCTATTCTACCCTCCACCTCTATTTACACTAATTATTCTAATACGATTATTACTCTCATTTATTATCATTCTATTCTATGTAGGTCCCTATCAGCTTTTGAGACTCATTTACGCATTCCATTATTCATTTATTGTTAGAATTTTTGTTTGGCAGAGTATGGAGGCATCACAAATATATACAGCTGGTATCTATCTTCCTACTTTACTTTATTATGTTTTCTCATTCAGTTATATCTGAGGTGGTCCCTATCTTTCACTTTGTCTTCATCCTATCAAATTTTATGAAAGAGATAGTTGTCTTCTTTGTGAAAGTTAAGTGTCTCACATCGGACGTTTACGTGGTCTGTCTAATCTTATTAATAAGTATGAAGTAAACTTCACCTCTCCTCTTGAAATCTTTTTAGGGTGAGTTAGGCCTAATTAATATGGCATTATAAATTGATCTTAGGGTGAATTAGGCATAGATTAATATGGTATTAGAACCTAATCTTATTGTTGTTTGGTTGACATCCATGGTTTGGGTAGCCCGTTTGCGGTCAATTTGGCAATTTATCTACCCCTCAAGTTGCCTAACCCAGTTTGAGTAGATGGGGAGTGTCAAGTGCCCTAAATCAGGTGTTACCGAGTTTGTGTTATTATATAAGTGAGAGATCAACCTGACTTCTAAAAACCTTTTTGGATTGGGTTAAGCCCAATGTAATAGTGAGCTTCCATGTACCTTGACTTCTTTATACTAAAATAAACTACAATATTTGTATTCGGATACATTGGACTATTAGAGACTGGAATGTTCTTCTCAAGTTTATAATGTGTAACGGAAAGAGCATTCTGATGTTCTAGTATGTGATGGCTCTAAACATCTAACTTGCAGTTGTTTTGCTTGCAAAAAATTCCTCCTTTTCTTTGTATTTTTATTACAATGGGAATGTATTTCATGAGCAGTGATACCTTTAACGAGAACTCTCCACCTACAAGTGATCCAAATTATATTTCTTCGCTTGGATCAGCGGTCTACAAAGCAATGTCCAAAGCAGATAAGGATGCAGTGTGGCTAATGCAAGTATGTTTATAGATTATATCTAGTAATCTAGTCCACTCCTTGTTTTTGTCTCCAATTAATCTATCTCCATTTCATGTTTCCTTCAGTTCTTTTTACACCACAATACTATCGACATTATTTTAAGCAACCTCATGGAACATTTACGGCACCACAATAATAATATTCCTTATAAGTTTGGGACAATTCTCATTGTGGGTATATTACCGCATTTCAAACTGGGGTTACTTTCAGCTGCTGTTCCGATTTCGTTTATTTGGTGAATGCACTTGGGGAGAAACTTCCTCCAGATGTTATAAACCTCGCTTGTATCGGCACAGTCCTATCTGTTTATTCCTTTTTATAAGAAGGTAGTTCAAATTGTTAGATGAATTTGCAGGGCTGGCTTTTTTATTCAGACTCCTCATATTGGAAGCCACCACAGATGGAGGTATAATATATATGTTCTTATGGTATTACTAAGAAAAGATTTTATAATTTCATGTTATTGAGGTATTTGAAATTGCAATAGCTGTGACGTACTCACATACTATTTTAGTGCTTGTACAGTACTACTCGGTTGTTATCCTCTTCCGCTTTGTTTTACTCACAATTTCTCCCGTTCTCTTGATAACTACCATGATCTCAAGGGCGGAGCTACATGCACCAGTGTGGTGTCAATTGGCACGACTTATTTTTTTGTTATTTATATATAGAGAGATATTTATTAATAATAATTTGACACCACCAATATCAATAAATAGATGGTCAAAAACCAAAACATATACGTTCAGTCTCAAAATATATGCGCACATCTAACTGAAGTTAAAATCACACATAATAAAATCTCGACGCTAACATTTATTTGAGATATGTTGCATACTTGCACATAGAGTGAGATCTAACAATTCCAAATTTGTATGGTAAGCGGTAACTACCATTACATGCGACGCCAAATGAACCAACCATGATACTATCTTTATATTGTCATTTACCTTTACAATCAATACTAATTCATTAAACAGATATGATTGAAAGTATTTATATAGTAATCATAAAATGAATTTCAAATATAACAAACGTTATGTACAGTTGCAAAATAAATACTACCACTAGTACAAAAAAGACTTTTTTACATCGGTTAAAATGGGCTTTTAACATCAGTTATAGAACCGATGTAGATACAGGTGATGTGAAAAAACGGGGACTTTTTACATCGGTTCTTTTAACCGGTGTTAAAGAAATCCGACATCGGTTCAATAGTAACCGATGTAGAAAGTCATCACTGATAGCCGCTGAATAACTGTTGTTATATTGAAATGGTTTGATAATTTTATTTTCACGTCTTAGAGATAATTTTAAGTTGAAATATTGACACCACACAAGTACATTTCTGGATCCGTCCCTGCATGATCTAGTAGATTGATGAAGTCTTTTATTGTGTATACAATGCTAAATGCAGGAATTTGTTATCTTCTCTGTCAAGTGACTCAAGTGGTATTTTTGTTGGGAATAAGGCTTGGTTGTTGTTGTTGTTGTATATCTAGCCAACAATTTTTTGATATTTTTCTTCCTACTTTAATATGAGCCACAGATCTCTTCTAGCCAATGCACTTCCATTCTGATTTTTAATGTAAAACCCATTGAAGAAAACCAGTGCATAGATCACGGAGATTAAAGATGCCAATAGTGTTTTGATTTTGTACACTGGGCTTTACACCACAAGCGTCCCTTTACAACAACAACAATACCCCAGTGCCGCAAAGCGTCCCTTTACTAGTAAAAATTATAAAATAAATTATTAAACTTCATTTGTGAACTAAAATATATATAAAATAAATGAATAAATTTCATTTTCGAACTGTGCCTTATTCTGGCAGGCACTATTACATTCTGTTCCATTTGGGAAGATGATAGTTCTTGATTTATTTGCTGACGTCCATCCAATATGGAAATATTCCTCCCAATTTTATGGAACTCCTTACATATGGTACGAAATAACTGGGCATACCTTGTCTCTCCTTTAAATTATTCTGCATTTGGCACTTCTGTAGAAGCTCAAATCTGAGCACCATTATGTTTTTGTATTTCATATCTTCCACATAAAATAGGTGTATGCTGCACAACTTTGGAGGCAATATTGAAATGTATGGAACAATGGATTCTATTGCAGCAGGCCCAGTTGATGCTCTTATTAGTGAAAATTCGACAATGGTGAGTGAATTCCCTTATGCACACCTCAAAACTTGCCATTATCTTCAGTCAAGTGTTCTTCATCTCTTTACACTATTTATAGTTTATAGTTATATTACCAAACATTGATCTCCTTTGACCAAACTTTGATCTCCTTTGACCAAACATTGATTCTGAAGTTCCTCACTCAATAAATTCATGGACAGGTTGGGGTTGGCATGTGCATGGAAGGAATAGAACATAATCCAGTTGTATATGAGCTGATGCCTGAAATGGCATTCAGGAGCCACAGTTTTGATATGAAGGTACCAGAGTTTCTTTCACAGAAGACCAATACGAGGAAAACATCTTTTATATTGAATATTAATATGTATCTTTTAGTTGTTATTTGAATGCCTGGTTCCATTTCCTTAATATGTTAGCCAAAACAGTCGCTCTATGTTGCACGGATATAGGTTCAGTACCCGTCCTATGATGGATATAAGTGCAGTACCCTCGATTTGAGACAGTGGTAATGACCTTACTACCTCCATCCTGAAAAAAATAGAGTATTGCTTGATCTATACAGAACCTTTTAATTTTGCTAAGGAACAACTTATATAAATCATTAACCACTTTTAAATTTTATTTGTCGGTTTAACATAATTTATCATGCGTAACTTGTCTGTGAATTTTCTGGAGAATTACATAAAGCAATTAGTTTCATTTGAGTAAAGAGGACTCTTTCTTTGGAACAAAAAAAATAATTGAAACGATGCTTTTTGTTTTTTCATAGGGAGTAGTACCTTAAAAAGTTTAAGAGCTAAAGGCCTGGAGTACATTTTTATAGAGACTTGAAGAATAGAACTCATTTCTTTGAGTAAAATACAACTAATTACAATTTTTAGGCCAGGATTAACTTAATAAAGGAAAGAGTAGTTATGTACAAAGTCTCCTAATTAATACAATTGTCCTATTTGATTCTAGGAGATCAGATTATGATCAAAACAAATCTCATAATAATCAACTAAATATTTTAATCTCTACGCTCCCCCTCAAGCTGGTGAATGGATATCTATCATTCACAGCTTGCAAGTAAGTTCTCGAAATTAGTCTACAGGAAGCCCTTTGGTGACCTTTGGTGAGCACATCAGCCATGAATTACCAATTTACCAGAGGTGTCATGTGATCTGTAGCACCAGAGTCAACAATCCAACTGTACTCAGTACTCAAAGCATTAAGAGATAAGAAGGTAGAATTCTTACGAGTCATTGTTAGAGAACAATTACCAGAGAGCGTACACAAGGAGTCCATAAATGCTCTTAGACGCTCAAGTTTTGCTTTACTAATGCTGGGGATATCTTTTGTTGTTGATCTAGATGGATTGCCTTCAATTTCCATGTTAGAAGATGCGTGATTTGCACGCCTTTGAACAATACTTTTGGACCCGCTCATCCGTCCAAGAATTTTATCCCTTCCATGCAGTTTGGAACACATATCCTGTGTGTGGCCGGATTTTCTACAGTGGCTGCACCATTAATCTTCACGATTCGGCTTCAAAAAAGGGCCTATCAATGTGGATCTTTGTATGGAATCCTTTCTGGTGGCTAAGGCTGAACAATCAACCGATTTTCTTCCTAAAGTGGAGGGCGCACATCCGTGTGGACGATCGATGTCTTTTCTACATTTCCTCTCTTTTCTTTTATCGTTTATCTTTTTTATCTTTTTATATTCATATGTTATTTTTATCTTCTAGCTTTTTTATGCTCTTTTATCTTTCTATCTTTTATCTTTCTTATATTCTTATGTTATTGTTATCTTATATTTATTTATCTTTATTTTATCTGTTTTATCTTACTTTTTTTCCCTCCTTGTCCGTCTCTCTGTTTGGCATCGATATCATAGATCGATTCATGTTAGCCGACCCCAAATTCTTTTGGGATTAAGGCTTGGATGTTGTTTTTGTTATCACTGTCCTCCTACTTTCTTCACCACGAACGGTGTGAAAGACCTCCAAAACAGATGGTAGTTTCTTATTACCTAAAATTTGAACCTGAATGGGATCAAGTTCAGAGTTAAGCTGAAAGAGAAACGTAAATATCCGTGTTTTCAGTAAATTGGGTTAGTGTAGTAGAGTCTTCATCACACTTCATTGTCAAACTTTGATACTGATCTAATTCGATCTAGAGGCCATTTAGAGTGTCATACTAGTCGGTCATGGAATATGTTAGCAGATTCTTCCAAATCTCCCAAGCAGTAGCGAAAAACATATAATTCCTACATAGCTCCAGAATCATAGAGTGCCAAAACCAGGTCATTATGAGAGAATCCTCATCAACCCTTATTTCATATTATGTATCTGTCTCAGCAGGGGCTTTGCCTTCGATGTGGCTAATCCTCGTGCGTCCTCTAAGAATGGCACGAACAAGTTGGGCCTATTGAAGGTAGTTGCACGCATCTAACTGGTAAGACCCTTGCGATATTGGGAGGTCATTGTGGGTCAAGGGTGGAAGAGAGATTTTTTCTTCGAGGACAAGCATAGTTAAAGCAATGATTGATGAGACACAATCAGGTGTTAAAGCAAAGTTGGAAGTATGACGACAAACATCGGAGAACAAGGGTTTAAGGCTAAGTCAGAGCAAGACAGAGTACATGGAGTGCAAGTTTGATGGAGGTAAAAACAGTGGTAATAGCGGAATTACTCTAGATGGTAAGGAGATACCGGTCATCGATATGTTCCGTTACTTGGGCTCCATAATTCAGAAGGACGGTGAATTAGATGGAGATGTATCCCATAAAGTCAAAACAGAGTGGATGAAATGGAAGAGTGTGTCAGGCCAGGATTCTATGCGATACAGATATACCGACTAGACTGAAGGGTAAATTTTATAGGACAACAATTAGGCCTGCATTATTGTATGTCATGGAGTGTTGGGCGGTGAAACGATGTCACATTCAAAAGATGAGAGTGACAGAGATGCGCATGTTGCGTTGGATGTGTGGGCATACTAGAAAGGTCCGCGTGAGGAATGAGAAAATCAGACAAAGGGTGGGAGTGACACCTATTGAAGATAAGATGCGGGAGTCCCGCTTGCTGTGGTTTGGTCTATTAGATTTTAGAGTAGGAACAGATTGAGACTGAAAGGCTTGATTCATTCCGGAAAATGATATCCTATTTATACAACATTTGAGAGACTTAATAAGGTAGGCTACTAATTATAATATTAAATACAAAGATTTGTAACTGATTTATAATATTAAGGAATTTTATCAATTCAGGATCCGAAAGATAGATGAATTATCAATTTGGGACCTGAAAGATGAGATCTATCAGGATAGGACCCGAACGATGAAAAAATATCAATCTAGGACCTAAAATTTCACAGGTTTTGATTTATTTATTTTTTTTAAAGAATTTTATCGATCCGGGACCTGAAAGATAGATGAACTATCAATTTGGGACCTGAAAGATGAAATGTATTGGTATAGGACCTGAATGATGGAAAACTATCAATCTAGGATCCGAATGATTGAAAATTATCAATTTAGGACCTAAGTTTTCATATATTTTATTGTTTTTTTTTTATTTTAAAAAATATAAATAATATTTAGTTTTATTAAACTAATAAACTTTTGTGAAGAAAATTTCACCAAATATTAGCAATGGAATTAATAAAAAATTTAATAAATCAAAACTAATGAAATGTTAGGTCCTAGATTGATAGTTTTTCATCTTTCGAGTCCTATACTGATACATTTCATCTTTCAGGTCCCTGATTGATAATTCGTCTATCTTTCAGGTCCCAGATTGATAAAATTCCAATTTTTTTATTAATTCCATTGCTAATTTTTGATAAACTTTTCTCACAAAAGTTTATTTGTTTCATAAAACTGAATAATATTTAAAAATTTTAAGATAAAAAAAATTAATAAAATTTTGGACAACTTAGGTCCTAAATTGATAATTTCCAAACATTCAAGTCCTGAATTGATAGTTTTCCATCATTCGGGTCCTATATCGATACATTTCATCTTTCAGGTCCTGGATTGATAATTCATTTATCTTTCGGCAACTGAATTGATAAAATTCCTAATATATTAAATACAAATATTTCTAATTTATTGTGTAGCTTATGTAATGGTTCTTTGGAGCTGTCTAGACTCTTCTATATGGTCATGTGCGTAGAAGACCGAGTGATGCACCTGTCAGACGTGTGGAGAAGAGGCATGGAAAAGAGGGAGATGAAGGCTCAAACAGACGTGGGTTAGGGGAGTCAGAAGTGATATACTTCTTCTTGGGTTGGATGAGAGTATGGCTTTGGAGAGAGCAAAGTGGAGGGTGTGTATTCGTGTGGAGGAGTGATCTCTAATCATCTTTTCCCCCTCATCTTCTTTTTTTGTTATTTTTTTATCCTTTTATCTTTATATATATAAATATTCTTTTATCCTTTTTTCCCTATCATTTTTATGTATATTCGTCTCTTTTTATATCATCTTTTTTATCATAGCTTATCTTTTCATCTTTCTTTTCCTTTTGGTGGTGATATCATGTATCGATTCATGTTAGTCGACCTCAATATCTTTTGGGACTAAGACTTGGTTGTTGTTGTTGTTGTTGTCAAGTTAAGAAAAAAGAACACCACACTAGTAAAGTGGCAGTTTCTAAGAAGGAAAATTCACCTTTGGAACAGAACCTAGAGGAGCAGCTTTCTAGCAGTAATTTTGTAATGAAAAACAACCTTTTGTTGTGTGCGCGTGCAGAAGCAGAGCGCCTAGAATTGGGAAGATCTGATGCCAACTTGAAGAATAGAATTATTTCTTTCGATTAAAATACAACATCTAATTATAATCTAATAATTTATAGGCCCGGACTAACTTAATAAAGGAAAGAGTAATTATGTACAAGATCTTCTAATTAATACAAATCTCCTACTTGATTCTAGGAAATCATATTATGATCAAAACCAATCTCATAATGATCAAATAAAATTGTAGTATCTCTACATAAAGCAAAAGGTAAAGAAGTTAAATCTGGACATTTGAATTTGGTATTAAGGGAATCAGCTAAGCACGGAAGTGGTGTGTAACTTTTAGTCCACCTATCAATTAGAATATTATATACTGCTTCATACAAAAGTTATAATTTACTGAACTTTTTGCCTTCATGTCGATCATATGAGAGCACCTTTTGTCATGTTGTTGTGAGCAACTTTTCTTAACAATTCTTAAAGTTAATCTCATGGATGCATAATGCATTTACACAGTGTCATATTTGTATATAAGTGAAACTTTCAGTGTGGTGTACAATGGTGAAAGTTGCATCTCT